GGCTAAGCGGATGAGGGTATCAGTGGAGGGGGACTGGTCGGGCCTGCGGGACAGGAAGAAGCGGAGGGCCTTAAGGCCATCTGCATGGGGAATGCAGGTGTAGAGGGACTGGACGTCCATGGTAAATATGAGGTGTTGGGGACCGGGGAATTGGAAGTTCTGGAGGAGGTGGAGGGCGTGGGTGGTGTCACGGACATAGGTAGGGAGTTCCTGGACCAGGGGGGAGAAAATGGAGTCTAGATAGTTGGAGATCAGTTCGGTGGGGCAGGAGCAGGCGGAGACAATGGGTCGACCAGGGCATTCAGGTTTGTGGATTTTGGGAAGGAGAGAGAAGCGGGCAGTGCGTACAGACGTTTTGTCACCATGCTAGGTAACATCATCAGTGCAGTCTCCGTTGGGACGATATTGTTCCACTCGTTATTTATATGATTCGGTCTGTTAAATTGGGTTGTGTCATTTCCCGTTCTGTTCTGCGTGGCTTTGTACATGGGGTCTAATTCCACATGTTTGTGAATTGAATTACGGATTGAAAACTAGGCCTGTAGGAATTCCCATGCGTGTCCCCAGGGGAATTTCTACAGGCCTGGTTTTCAACCTGTAATGCAATTAACAAACATGTGGAATTAGACCCCATGTACAAACCCACGCGGAACAGAACCGGAAATGACACAACCCAATTTAACAGACCGGATCATATAAATTCCAAGTGGATTGGAACAACATCGCCTCATCGGAGGCCGCTCTGATGATGTCACCTAGCATGGTGACGAAACGTCTGTACAATAACCAGCCAGCTCCGCAAGCAAACCAACAACCTCATCCACAACCCGAGCTACAAATCTTTGCAAGAACCTTAAAGTCACAGGTATAAATACGCCTTCATAGACGGATCACAGCAGTTATTTTTTGCATTGGGATCATACAATCTGAATCTAAAAAGAAAGAATGTGCAGGGTTACTGGACGAAGGTGGTAGAACAGCACCAAGTGAAATGCTCATTCAGAGAGCTGGCGCAAACACAATGGCCAAATGGACTCCTTCCACTGTGTAACCATGCGCTGAGGAGATCTTTTCTTTCTTCCAATCTGCAGACCTCTTCCCGAAGATAATGAAGCCATGACAGAGGATGAGCTGAATGCCAATACAGATGGCAACAGACCAGGTAATTATATTGGGGTATATCAGTACAAATGTGTGTGTGTGTGTGTGTGTGTGTGTGTGTGTGAGTGAGTGAGAGAGTGTATGAGCGTGAGCATGAGAGCCTTACCATTCAGCAAGGACCCGCAACTGATGGTTAGCTCCTCCTGCTCCTTCAATGCCCATTGCTATCAGACTCTCTTCCTCTCTTCCCACTCACCTAAAGAAACTGCTCTTTCAATCATTCACGGGATGTGGTTGTCACTGGCTAGACCAGCATTTACTGCTCATCACTCATTCGGTACAGGGTAATAAAGACTCAACCGCACTTTGTCAGGAGGTAAGACAAGCTCAGGGTATGGGACAGACTAGGTAAAGACGGAAGATTTCCTTCCTTAAAAGAATATTAGTGAACCAGATGAGTTTTTAATGATAATTGATAAGCTAGTTTTTTATTCCATGTTTGTATTGAATTCAAATTGTTTGAATCCTGCCATGGCAGGATTCAAACCTATCTAACCAGATCATTATCCTGGGATTCTATATTGGGTAGCACAGTGGCTCAGTGGTTAGCACTGCTGCCTCACAGCTCCAGGGACCTGGGTTTGATTCCACCCTCGGGAAACTGCGTGGAGTTTGCACATTCTCCCTGTGTCTACATGGGTTTCCTCCGAGTGCTCCAGTTTCCTCCCACAGTCCAAAGATGTGCAGGTTAGGGTGGATTGGCCATGCTAAATTGTCCATAGTGTCCAGGGATGTGCAGGTTTAGATGGGTTAGCCATGGGAAATGCAGGATTACAGAGATAGGGTAATGGGGATGGGCCTGGGTGGGATGCTGCTTGAGGGTTGGTGTGAACTCAATGGACCAAATGGCCTGTTTCCACACTGTAAGGATTCGACATTACTCATTCAGTGACACTAACAATGTACCATATGTCTTTGTAGTTCCTCTGTAAGCTTAGAACTGAAATCAGATGCAGTCATAAATAATACTTACACAGGCAAGAAGCAGGCTAGGAATGATGGGGAAGTCCACTGATGTTTATGCTGTCTAAGAGACGGTGTGACCTTGTGCACTTCCCTTTTCAACTGCTACAAATGAAGTGAGTCTGACTGAAATTACAGTAAAGTATTGCGATTTGAAAGCAGACTATTCAGCCAAATGTGGTGAGGGAGGACAGCAACAGAATGGAAGTTAGCCACATGAGGGCAATCATCAGTGTGATCTCCAGGCATGGATGAACGAGGACTGGTAGCTTCACTCTGACAGCCTATTCAGTCACATTAATTCCTGTGCATATTTTCAGGAAAAATCCTGAATATCTTGAAATTCTGAGCTCATTAATCGCTTCTACTGGCTTTCTGTAGTCTGCATCAAGCCTTGCCTTGAATGCAAAGAATGCTTGACATTTTTAAGCCCATGCAAGAATGTTCCACTACACAGTCTGCAAATGCCTGATAAATATAGAATCATACAGCAAAGGAGGCCATTCGACTCATTGCATTTAGTACTTTTGATGGGTAAATTGAACATAAGAACACATGAAATAGCAGCAGGAATAGGCCATCTGGCCCATTAAGCCTGCTCCACCATTCAATAAGATCATGGCTGATCTTTTTGTGGACTCAGCTCCCCTTACCTGCCTGCTTACCATAACCCTTAATTCCTTTACTGTTCAAAAATATATCTATCTTTGCCTTAAAAGCATTTAACGAGGTAGCCTCAACTGCTTCACTAGGCAGGGAATTCCACAGATTCATAACCCTTTGGGTGAAGAAGTTCCTCCTCAGCTCAGTCCTAAATCTGTTCCCTCTTATTATGAGGCTATGCCCCCTACTTCAAGTTTCACCTGCCAGTCGAAACAACCTCCCTTCTTCTATCTTATGTATTTCCTTCATAATTTTGTATGTTTTTATACGATCCCTCCTCTAAATTCCAATGAGTATAGTCCCAGTTTATTCAATCTCTTCTCAAAAGCCAATCATCTCAACTCTGGAATCAACCCAGTGAGCCTACTCTGCACCTCCTCCAGTGCCAATAAATCCTGTCTCAAGTAAGGAGACCAAAACTGTACACAGTTTCAGACAGTCCCATTCCACCCTTCTGTCCCCTACAGCTTTGCTTTCCGCCCCCACCCCCACCCCACTTTCAAGTATTTACCTAATTTGCTTTTAAGAGGTGACTATAGAATCTGTGTCGCCTACGTATCAGGCAGCACCTTTCCAAACCATAACCATTGCTACCCATTGTAGTTTAGAATAATGAGAGGTCATGGTAGTGAAACATGATAAGGTCCTGCAAAGTGTTGACAGATGGATGTGGAACAATCTAGAAACAGGGGTCACTGTATATATTAACAAGGTTTATACATTTAAGGTAGTAGATAAGAATTATTTTTCCCCCTCAGAGCTTTGAGTTTTTTGGAGCTCTTCCTAAAAAGGCAGTGGAATAATTTTTAAGACAGAAGTGGGTAGGTTCTTGATGAAGAGGATGAAAGGCTATCAAGAATGGTGGGAACATGGAGTAATCAGATCAGCCGTGATCTTATTGAATGGTGGAACAGGCCTGAGGAGCCAAGTGGTCTACTCCTGTTTCCTAATTCCTGCTTTTCAGATGGAGAGGAGACGTTTTCTCTCTGAGGGTAGTTAGTCTGTGAAATTCTCTTACCCAGAGAGCAGTGGAGACTCAATCATTGAATGTATTCAAGGTTGAGTCATTCTTGATTCACATGGGAGCCAGAACGTTATGGGGCAGAGACAAACAGGAAAGTGGAGTCGAGACCACAACCAGAACAGTAATGATTTTATTGAATGGCAGAGAGGCTCAGGAGGCTAATTCCTGTTCCGAAGTCCTGTATTCCCATAATAACTGCTATTGAGTCAAAGAGTCATACAGCACAGAAACGGACCCTTCGGTCCAATCAGTCCACACCAACCATAATCCCAAACTAAACTTGTCCCACCTGCCTGCACTTGGTCCATATCCCTCCAAACATTTCTTATTCATGTACTTATCCAAATGTCTTTTACATGTTGTAACTGTACATGCATCTACCACTTCCTTTGGCAGTTCATTCCATACATGAACCACTCTCTGTGTAAAAATAAAAAAAAAATGCCCCTCATCTTTTTCAAATCTTTCTCCTCTCATCTTAAAAACATGTCCCCTTGTCTTGACATGTTCTGCTCTAGAGAAAAGACACCTACCATTCACCTTATCTATACTCCTCATTATTTCATAAACCTCTATAAGATCACCTCTCAACCTCCTATGGTCTGGTGAAAGAAGTCCCAGCCTATCTGGTCTGTCCTTATAACTCAAACCCTCCATTCCTGACAACATCCTGGCAACATCTCTTCTGAACCCTCTCCAGCTTGATGATATCCTTCCTATAACAGGGATACCAGAATTTGACACACTACTGCACTCCAGAAGAAGCCTCACCAGTGTCCTGTACGACCTAAACATAATGTTCTATACTCGAAGGTCAGAGCAATGAAGGCAAGCGTGCCAAAGGCCTTCTTAACCACCCTATCTTTTGTGATGCAAACTTCAAAGAATTATGTGCCTGAACCCCTAGGTCTCTTAATTGAGCTTTCCCCTGGCAAATGGGACTAGATTAATTTAGCACAACTGGTCGGCGTGGACGATTTGGACCGAAGGGTCTTTCTCCATGCTGGACAACTCTACGACTCTATAATTGCTTACTAGTTCTTGTGTTCTTCTGTTATTGAAGGATACAAGGAAGAATATAAAGAAGGGGAACAGAACTCTGCTATCTTAGATCTAGCAACCCCTAAATTTTTAATTTGCCACTCTGCTTGGACCTGCAGCGTGGGAAGCCCATATCTAAAACATTCATGATTTTAAACTCCTCAATCACATCTTCCCTTGGCCCTCTCTGCTCCCAGTGGAAACCAGTCCAGCATGACTGGAGACAATCTTTCCTCTCCCCTTAATAGACAGTATTTTTTACAAAATTATCTATTGGATTAAATCATCTGTCTTTATTTCTCCTTCAGTGCCGCCGAACACTCTGCAGTTGTGTGGGAACAAGCATAAAAAGCGGCTCCTTGCACCAGCAATCAGTTTGACCTTGGAAGGGAATGGGGAGACAACGCGGTCCGAGGAAAGGACTCCGGATGAACCAGAAGGGGATTCCTCTGATCTAAATTTAGATGAATTAGATACCCCTTCAGATAGTGAATCATTTGAGTTGCCGGAGAATGGTAATGAGTTTGAGTGGGAAGGTAAACAAACAAATCAACGTCTGATCAATATTCTTAATCATCTCCTCTGAATGACTGTCTTCTTTCACCTTCTGTCTTTTCCTCCATTGAGTAGCAATGTTAGCTTGACTGTGACTTTAGTAGGCGCGGCAGCCCCATTTCTCTTGTGGTCAAAGGCTGATTTCCCCTCCACTCCCAAGGGATCGATGATGGTGGATGACCCTCTTTCCTGCGCACAAGCTTGGGACTGCTAGAGGGGAGCAGAATGTTGCTTCTCGGAGTGTCCACCTCTTCCCTACTCCCTCTGGCGCATCTTCTTAACCCATCATTGAATTAGGTTGCTGGTAAACTTAGGTTTTACCTACTCTGCTTTCTGCACTGGCCTTTATCACTAGAGGTTTTCAGTACTGGTGTAAAGAAGTCTTGCTGCAGTTGGGTAGAGCTTCAGTGTGATTACACGTGTGCAGGTTGTGGAAATCTGGTCATAGAGTCATAGAGGTGTACAGCACAGAGCAGACCCTTTAGTGCAACTCGTCCATGTTGACCAGAGATCCTAGGTAAATCTAGTTCCATTTGCCAGCATTTGGCTGACATTCCTTTAAACCCTTCCTTTTCATATACCCATCCAGATGCCTTTTAAATGTTGTAATCATACTAGCCTCCAACACCTCCTCTGGCAGCTCAATCCATACACACACCACCCTCTGCATGAAAAAATTGCCCCTTAGGTCCCTTTTAAATCTTTTCTCTTTCACCTTAAACCTATGCCTTCTAGTTTTGGACTCCCCCACCCTGGGGAAAAGATCCTGTCTATTTACCCTCATGATTTTATAAACCCCTCAGCCTCTGACAGTCCAGGGCAAATAGTCCTAGCCCATTCAGCCTCTCCCTATAGCTCAAACCCTCCAACCCTGGTAACATCCTTGTAAATCTTTTCGGAACCCTTTCAAGTTTCACAACATCCTTCCAATAACAGGGAGACCAGAACTGCACATAGCATTCCAGAAGTGGCCTAACCAATGTCCTGTACAGCCACAACATGACCTCCCAACTCCTATACTCAATGCACTGACCAATAAAGGCAAGCGTACCAAACATCATCTTCACTGTCCTATTTACCTGCTATGTAACTATGAACCTGCACTCCAAGGTCTCTTTGTTCAGCAGCACTCCCCAGGCCCTTACCATTAAGTGTATAAGTCCTGCCCTGATTTGCCTTTCCAAAATGCAGCACCTCACATTTATCTAAATTAAACTCCATCTGCCACTCCTTGGCTTATTAGCCCATCTGATCATGATCCCGTTGTACTCTGAGGTAATCTTCTTTGCTGTCCACTGCACCTTCAATTTTGGTGTCATCTGCAAACTTACTAACCATACCTCCTGTGTTCGCATCCAAATCATTTACATAAATGACAAAAAGCAGTGGACCCAGCATCGATCCTTGTGGCACACCACTAGTCACAGGCCTCCAGTTTGAAAAGCTACACCCCACCACCACCTTCGGCCTTCTACCTTCCAGCCAGTTCTGTACCCAAATGGCTAGTCCACCCTGTATCCCAATGTGATCTAACCTTGCTAACCAGTCCACCATGACAAACTTTGTCGAACACCTTACTGAAGTCTATATGGAACACGTCCACTGCTCTGCCCTCATCAATCCTCTTCATTACATCTTCAAAAAATTTCAATCAAGTTAGTGGGGCACGATTTCCCACGCACTAAGCCATGTTGCCTATCCCTAATCAGTCTTTGCCTTTCCAAATCCGGTGTGGACGAGTTGGATCAAAGAGCCTGTTTCAGTGCTGTATATCTCTATGAAGCTATGACTAGTTCCTAATTGATATTCCTGATACACAAACAATCCGAGGGCTGTTTACTGTCTCGTTCCCTTCCTCCTTACTGCATATGGCCGTTTCCAGCCAGCCAGCTGTGAAACCTCTTTCCCATCCCCTCCACAGTATCAGTAAAAGGTCAGTGATCAGTGCTCTCTGTCGCTTTGGAGTTAAGTCTGACTGTTGAAACTGGAGCCTATAATCCAGGCTGATACTCGTGTCACAGCATTGTCTGAGGATGCCACATTATAGAATGAGACGTTAAACCGAAGGCCTGGCCTGGTCCCTTTTAGGTGGATTTAAAATATTATACAACTGCTACAAGAAGATCATAAGGTGGGAATGGAGGTTCTCCCTGTTGGGTCAATATTTATCTTCAATAACACCAAAACACAGATGATCTGGGCCAATACTACTGTGCTGTTTGTGGGAGCTTGCTGTGCATAAATTGGCTGCTGCATTTCCCACATTACGACAGCAACTGCTGTTTCTAAAAACAAAAGTACTACTTTGGCTGCTAACCATGTGACTAACTAAAGCAGCTAAATAAGAAGTGAATGGAGACTTGTACCTGCAAGTTCCTCTCCGAGACACTAACCATCGTGTCTTGGAACTATATTGGTCATTCCTTCATTGTCACTGGGTCAAAATCCTCAACCTTCCTCCCTCCCTTCCTAAAGCCACTTTTGAGTGTTCCTATACTACGTGGGCTGCAGCAGTTCAAGAAGGCAGCTCACTACCACCTTCTCAAAGGGCAATTAGGGCTGTTTCATCCAGTGAAACCCACATCCTGTAAACAGAAAAAGTTCTGTTGCAAGATTGTTCTCCTGATTCAAATCAATACGTGGTAGCATCCAAACAATGTCCATCATTCTAACTGCAGTCTGCAACATTTATTCCCTCTACCCATTATCAATAAAATTGATGAGTTAGCCTTCCATTTGTGTAAAATCAGCTCCCCTGTTTCCTGCATTACAATAAGTGGATCTCCAAAATGAAGTACTTCATTGGCTGTAAGGTGCTTTGAAATGTGCTGAGGGTATGCAGGGCTGTGATGCAAATTCAAATCCATCTTTAACTAGTAGATGGATACGGCATGTGCAGAGACTGGTTCAATTGCTGACTTTTTAGCAGCCGGCGCTATACCATTGAAGCTCGGCTCTTTAAAAAACGTTCTTAAATGTTGGACATGAAGCGGAAATGGTGCGGGAAGAGATGACGTTTGGGTGGGGAAACAGATTTGGTGAGATGGATGCATGTTCCTTCACGCACACCAAAATCAACGAGTTTTCTGGGCCACATCAGTTTTATGAGCCATGGGTAAGCCTCTGACTGCATATGCTTCATACAGATTTGTTGATTGTGACCTGATTTGCATTGTTTATTTCACCCGCTGTGATTCTCTGCATGCACAGCCAATCATGAACATTTTGTTTGCGCGCTATCTGCCGCACGAGCCAATCTTAAGCATTCTTTAATTGCTGACTTAAAAGCAATATCCAACCTCCTGATGATTTCCTATCGCATCTTAACTGATGTTTGTCAAACTTGGAAATTAGCTTTGATTCTCTCCATTTTGAGATTTATTTGACCGGTTTGTTATTTTGTGATTTTTAAAAATGATTCTGTATTCAACTAGGAGATAAAGCAATTCATTTCAAACTTTGGTTTGCTAACTCCTCACTTCCACTCCTCCACTAACATTATTTATAAAGAAAATGCCCTTTAGCTTATTTGTTTGGGATTTGTTTGGTGGGGTTAATTTTTAGCTTTTGGAGAGCGGGAAGTGTTAAGGACACAAACCAAGAGACGATTAGATATTGATTTACAAGTTTAGATTAGGAGCTTGAACTTGAAGAACCAGTTCCAGTTCCATCTCGTGAAACAAGCAGAATTTCCTGGCCACATCAGTGTTTTTACAATGGTGCTAGTTGGTGGAGGATTCACATGAGAAGTGAGGGGAAAGTAATTGATTTTTCTCATCAATTGTCAAAAAATACATTTGGAATGGTTCATGCCAAGAAAACCCCAAGTAGCTCATTCATACCATTCGAGAACTGAGTAACAACTACTCAAGTTCTGTTATCCTCTCGGCCTAAATGCTACTTTCTCTCCACCCTTCCCCAATCTGGCCAGATGATCTGCCCCGGGTGTATCGTTCATTGTCGGATACCGAGAGTTTCCAGGGACACGTGACGGATGAGGAGACGGAAGATGGCAAGCTATGGAGGGTTTTCCACATTGGAGAACAGGAATATCGGGTGGACATGGCTATTGTAGATCCGTATAAGGCGGTCATTTCTCATGGAGGTGAGGCTCCTGGTTTGAGCATCAGTTTGTTTATTTTCTTGACTGATTTAACCAATGTGTCAATCAGGAACGATGACAGTAAATCCAGTAATGTTCCCAAGACAAGTTCAAATCCCACCACGGTGGCTGCCTGATTGAGGGGAGATGGTGACATAGTGGTAACTTCAGTAGACTAGTAATTGTGAGGTCCAGGCTTTTGCAGTAAGGGTAAGAGTTCAAATCCCACAATGGGAACTGATGAATTTATATTATTAATAAATCTAGGATGTAAAGCAAGTTTCAGTGAAGATAGATTTGCAGCTATCATTGTTGTAAAAATGAAACCCATCTGATTCACTAATGTCCTTAGAAAATCTGCCATCTTAAACTGAGCTGGCCAGGATGGGACTGCAGATTCACAAAAAGGTTGACTCTTAAATGAAATGGGCCTGGGAAGCCACTCAGTTGTCAATGATAATCAGGGATGGGCAGTAATGTTTGCCTGGACAGCAATGGAGTAATTTTTCTTTTTCAAAAAAAAAAGCCTCCAACTTGAAGTCTTATGGGGTGAAGTGCAAGAGAGACAGTAGTCAACAGAGTAAACAAGTCCTAGTCTCTCCTACTAGAGGACACATCCTCTCCATGTCTGCTCTATCCAGGCCTCTCAGTGTCCTGTAAGTTTCAATCAGAGCAACACCGCGCCCCCACTCCCCCATTCCATTCTTCTAAACTCCTGTTGAGTACTGACCCAAAGTCCCTAACTGCTCCTTGTGTGATAAACCCTTCATCCCCGGCATCATTCTTGTAAACCTCTGGTATTGAGAGGAATCTGCGACCTTCAGCTCAACCTACCAGGTAATTTATAAGCGTCTCTCAAATGTGGAGAGGTGGGAAAGATGAAAACTCTGACCTGGTCAATAATACTCGCTCTCTTTCTACCAGGTTGCTTTGGTGAGAATTTAACTGCAATCATTGTGTTTTCCTCGTGCTATTTGCCTGAAAGCAGTCTACCTGATTATGAAAACGTGATGGAAAATCTCTTTAGGTAATGAACTGCTTCGTATAGCCTGATCTTTAAAAGCCTTCCATTTCTTGCCTTTGATGTGATGTTTGGCTAACTGCACCATTTTGGGAAATTGAGGAACTTTATTCCTTGGGAGAAACATTTTAGATCCCAACTTGTCCTGGTCAGGTTTTCAAGGCTGCCAGTTGGTTGCAGTCTGTTGTGAAACAAGCTATTCAACAACAAAGATTTTTAGAAAGCACATTTCAGAAGCTCCAAAAACATTTCACAGCTGTTGAAGCATTTGTTTTTGGAAAGCTCTCACTATTGTAGTGTAGGAAACAGGACAGCCAATTTGCACACAGCTATCATCATGTCACCTTTTGTATTTGCACGTGATGTCGGTGGAGAAATAAACATTAGCCATGATGCCGAGGTCCTTGGTTTAACATCAATGAAAAACAGCACCTCGGACATGCAGCACTCCTTCAGGTCCAGGCAAGGACCAGTGGCCTGGAGTTTAGACTCCAATCCCTACAGAAGACTAGAAGCCACTCAATTTCCTCAGGAGGCTAAGGAAATTCGGCATGTCTGTAAAGACACTTGCCAATTTTAATAGACTCACCATAGAAAGCATTCTATCAGGATGCATCTTTTGTCATAGGCCAGCAGCTTTGGTCATTCCATTGGGGAAACACTGTTCACCTAAAAATGTTCCAGTTTGGCACTTCTCACTGCTAAAATGTCCACTTTCACTTTCACTAGCAAAGGCAACACTTGGGAAGTAAAATTATTGCAGACTCCGTCAGGGACAGGTCTAAATACATTTCGTATCAATCCACTATGATGTGAACAGAGGTCATCATAATGTCACAGAGGTCTACTGCATGGAAACAGCCCAACTTGTCCATGCCACCTAGTTTTCATAATCAATCTAGTCCTATTTCCCTGCATTTGGTCCAAATTCCTCCATACCTATCCCATCTGTGTATCTATCCAAATGTTTTTTAAATTACAAAATTGTACTTGCCTCCACCATTACCTCTGGCAGCCCATTCCGGACACTCAGCACTCTCTGTGTGGAAAAACATTGTCCTTTGGACCCTTTTGTATTTCTTCCCTCTCACCTTAAACTTATGCCCTCTAGTTTTAGACTCCCCTACCCTGGGGAGCAGCTGTTGGCTGTCTACTTTATCGCTTCCTTTTATGATTTTATAGACCTCTATAAGGTCACCCCTCAGTCTCCTACAGTCCAGGGAAAAAAGTCCCAGCCTATCCAGCCGCTCCTTATAACTCAAACCTTCCAGTACAGGTACAGTCTCACCTGCTGATGAATACTGTGTGAAATGGAAATTAAGGCCCTCAAGCTGTTCTGATACTCACATAGATCATGATTGGTGTGGATATTAATTCTGGCTAATCACTTTGTTTCCATAATCCAAATGTCCTAACAAAAACATGCTGATCTCAGTCTTGAAATTTCAAGTTAACCTCACCCCTCCCCACCTCCTTGATAGCTTTTGGCGTCAGAGAGTTCCAGATTCTCATGCCTGTTTGTGTGACAGTTCTTCCTGACCCTGAACAGCCTGGCAATTCTGTTTCATGTTCTTTCACAAGACGTGGGCATTGCTGGCTGAGCCAACATTATCTTTCCCATACATAACAGCCCCTCTGAGAAGGTGGTGGTGAGCTGCCTCCACGTGGTGTTGGGATACCTGCAGAGCTTATAGGGAAAAATGTTCCAGGATTTTGACCCGGTGACTGTGAAGGAACAGCCAATATAGTTCCAAGTCAAGATGGTGTGTGGCCTGGAGGGGAACTTGCACGTTGTGATGATCCCATGTGTCTTGTTGCCCTAGCCCTTCTTGGGGGGTGGAGAGCTTACGCATTTAAAAGTTGTTGTCAAAGGAGCATTGGTAAGTTACTGTAGTGCTTCTTGTAGATGCCATTGTGTGTCGGTGTGGAGGAGGTGGATGGGGTGCCAATCAAGCAGAGTTACTTTATCCCGGATGGTGTTGAGTTTCTTTTATTCGTTCATGGAATGTTAGTGTTTCTGGCTGGGCCAGCACTTATTGTCCAATCATAGTTGTCCTTAAAGTGGTGAGCTGCCTTCTTGAACTGTTGCGATCATGAGTGTTATTGGAATTTCACCCATCCAGGCAAGTGAAGAAGATCCAATCACACTCCTGACTTGTCTAGAGATAGTCCCGACCTGAAATGTCAATTTTCCTGCCCCTCTGATGCTGCCTGGCCTGCTGTGTTCCTCCAGCTCCACACTGTTATCTCACACTCATGACTTGTGCATTGTAGCTGGAAAGGCTCGGGAGAGTCCTTTACTGCAGGATTCCCAGCTTTTGACCTGTTCTTGCAGCCACAGTGTTTATTTGGTTAGAGAATTCCAGAGAATTACTGAGCTTTTCAAGCAATTTCTGTTTTTGTTCCAGAGAACTGTGGTGTTATTAGGCAGTGGAGTTTTGCCAGTTGTGAGGGGTTCTGTATAGATCAGATACAGAGTGACGAAGTACAAAATGTGTTTCTTGTGTTGGGACATGGACATGGATTACCAACAGTTTTTTCTCTCACATTGCACTTGCTTCATTGGCAAAATATCTGAGCCCTTTCATACTTGATCCTTTACCAGTGGGATCTGTTTCCATTCATTAGTTTAAAAAAAACTGTTAGCCTGGAGAAGTGACTTTGAACTTGAGTGACTTAAAAGCTGAGTGCCAAAAAGTGGATTGATCCCATTCCACAGAAATGTGACTGTAGTGTTCTGTCCCCGCAGGTATGTTATTGGAACTCTGGAATTGCTGGTGGCTGAAAACTATATTATTGTGTATTTAAACGGTGCCACAACTCGCAATAGAGTGCCATCAATCAGCTGGCTGAAACAGTGTTACCAGACCATTGACCGGAGGTAAGATGCTGCTGCTGTTCGATGTTAGAACAAATTAAGAATTGAAAGTCAGTGTTGTGTTTTTTTTAAAAATATCCTTAGGAAGGGGAAAATTCATGGTAAAGAAATTTTGGAAGGTTGTCTGCCTGAATCATTGCTATGCTGGAAGATATGGATTTGGCTCAGGTAGTTATAGAGTGATACAGCACGGAAACAGGCCCTTTGGTGTCCAACTTGTCCATGCCAACCAGGTATCCCAAACTAAACTAGTTCCATTTGCCTGCATTTGGCCCATATCCCTTTAACTCCTTCCTATTCACGCACCCATCCAGATGCCTTTTAAATGTTGTAATTGTGCCAGTCTCCACCACTTCCTCTGGCAGCTCGTTCCATACATGCATCACCCTCTGTGTGAAAAAAAATTGCCCCTCGGGTCCCTTTTAAGTCTTTCCCCTCTCACCTTAAACCTATGCCATCTAATTTTGGACTCCCCTATCCTGGGGAAAAGACGTTGGCTATTCACCTTACTTATGCCCTTCATGATTTTCTAAACCTCTGTAATCTCACCCCTCAACCACCTATGCTCCAGAGGGAAAAGTCCCAGCCCATCCAGTTTCCCTTATAACTCAAACCCTCCAATTCCTTCCAACACTAGGAGGCCAGACTCTGATTGTTTCGGAGAAATGGGGTTAACTTTGGCTTTTATTTGTAACATTTCTCAGTGAACATTCGGCTCATCAAGCCTGCTTCACCACAATCCTGGCTGGTGTCTCGAGAATCTAATCTCAGGATTAGGGGCAAGCAATTTAAGATTGATACAAGGAGAAATTTCTTCACTCAGAAGGTTGCAAAGCTTTGCAGCTGTCTATCTCAGATGCAGTGGAAGCTCAATTATTGAGTGTGTTCGAGTCAGAGATCAATTAGATTTCTGGAGAGCGATAATATCAAGGGATATATAGAAGGTGCAGGAAAACAGCATCAAGGTAGATCAGCCGTCATCTAATTGAATGGCAGACCAGCTTAATGGGCTCAGTGGCCTACTCCTGTTCCTGGGCAGTAAGATTATGCTTCAGCCTTTCCCTCAACTCCATCTTTCTATGTTATATCCAATAATCTAATGATTTGGCTTCTGGACAGGAAAAGGGTCCAGAAAGGAAAGGCAGAAACTGGTAAATATGCAAAATTTTTTTGATTTATTTGCTGTATCTTGTTTAAAAATACATTGAAAAGTATTGTATAGTGTCGCCACTCTGGCGCCATCTTAAAACACAGAAAACTAAACTAAAACATAGAATATAAAAATAGAAAAATGAAGAAATAGTGTCCAACTTTACAGTCCTTCTTGTTAAGTGCTCCATCATGGGCCATGGGTCTGGTGGCCAGGCACGAGTCCCCATCGAAAGTCCCCACTCTTCAGTGCTATCTCGTCTCCACCGACATCCTTGTCACTGAGTCACCGCTGAACCTCGCCAATGTAGTCGCCACCAATGCCATCGGGTCTTGTACTGGGCCCAAACCCGCCTGTGCTGTTGCCTCCATGAATCTGCACTGGAAGCAGATGCCATCAGGAACTCAAACTCGCTGCTGACACAGCAGCCATGAGTCAGCGCTAGGTCTGACTTCATGATACAGGAGCTGCTGGGAACCCAAACTTGCATCTGCTGCCACCATGAGTCCATGCTGTTGGGCCCAGTCACCACCATCGATGCCATCGCCACATCCGAGCTCTTCACCAAGGGATAAGTAAACTAAAATGGAAGAGGGAAAAAGAAAGATGAGAGAAGACAGCAAATAAAAGAAAGGAAACAAAAAGAAAAGCGGAGTGGCTCAGAAGCCCTACTCCTCCACTATCTTACCAGAAGTAATTACTGATTTACAGTAAAATTCTTACAAATCTTTGAGTTAGGCAGCAAAGACTTTCAACAGATCAATATGGACTTGTTCATCGAGGGCATGTATGAGAGTTTCAGCAGTGGATGAGTTGAAGCAGCAATAGAGTTTGACCATGTTATGGAAATTGACAGTCTTGGTGATGGCATGGGGGAAGGTGTGGCCAGTAGCTTACATTGGGGTCGAGTACATCTGAAAACCAATCTGGCTTGGCCTCTGAGACAACAAGGTGCAGAGCTGGATGAACACTGATGAAGGGTCTAGGCCCGAAACGTCAGCCTTTCTGCTCCTATGATGCTGCTTGGCCTGCTGTGTTCATCCAGCTCTACACCTTGTTGTCTCGGATTCTCCAGCATCTGCAGTTCCTACTATCTCTGGCTTGGCCTCTGGATAGTTGCCAGGTGAACAACAGTCAGTGAACTCTTGGTTGAGTTATCGAGATCAGGAGCCTGTGTCTGTAAGTCAAGCAGTGGTGGCTGGCTTATACAAGGCTGGATCTTCAAACATTGTGAATATCATGGCAGATGGAGGGAAATGAAAAGTTACATTCTGACGCTTTGGGAATGAATGAAATGACACGATGATTCTTTCAGATAACATGTTTAAGAATAAGCAACAGAACGTTTCATCCATTGACTATAAATTGGCAGTTCTTTTCCTTAATTATTCCTTTGAATGCCCACATCCCAGGAAAGAAGAGCAAAACTTCTCTCACGAGAGGTGAATTTCCCAATGATCGACAGAAAAGAATCACAGGACAAGATTTCACTTTTAAGGCTTGTACTGTAACAAACAAAGTCAACAAGTAGCAAGCGTTACTTCTCAGCGTAACCATTTGTTGAGTTCAGCACTCTGATTACTATTTTGTTTTGTTGGTATAGGTTAAGGAAAAACTTGAAATCTCTGATTGTCGTGCATCCATCGTGGTTCATTAAGGTGATATTAGCTATTACCCGGCCTTTTATAAGGTACGACCTTCCTTTTACCCCACCCTATCCTTTTTTTGCAAGTCTCCCAATTATCCCAAAGGAACACAGGGAAGCTTAATCAGCCTCTCAAGCCTATTCCATCATTTGATGGATTCGTGATTAATCTGCAACCTAATTCCACAGACCTGCATTTGCCACCTGTCCCTTTTAATACCTTTGGTAAACCTGCCAACCAGAGATTAACAACTGATTTGTCGTTTGAGGAAGATATTTCAAAATCTAAACCAATGATCCCAAAAGGAGTGCTGCACTGCTGGAAGCACCATCTTTTGAATGAGATGTTCAGCCAAGGTCCCTAACCCACTGCTATTTAAGGGAGCTTGCTGGGAGTGTACTGTATTGGCTGCTGTTCCATACCTTACAACAGTGACTTTATTTAAAGAGTACTTTATTGGAGGTAAAGCACAACCTCTTGAGGCTCCTTCTCCATCTTTCCCTCCATTTCCCCCCCCCCCCGTCCTTCCTACCTTCCCCTCTCTCCTTCCTCTTTTGCCCTCTCTCTCTCAGGTCTCTCCCTCCCTCTCCCCCCTTCTTCTTCCCTCTTGTACTCACTTGTTTATCACCTTTGCTGTCATGTTCCCTCCATCCTTTCCTCTTCCCTCTCTTTCTCTTTATCCTTCCTATCTCTCCTTCCTCCTCACCTCTCTCTCACTTCCCCCATTTCTTTCCTTCACTTCTCTCTCACTCCTTCCCTTCTCTTTCTTTCTCTCACCTCTGCCTCACCATCCCCCAAATCTCACTTCTCTCCTTTACTCACTTTCCCCTTTTTTTTCTCTCTCACCTTCCCCTTCCTCTCTCAGCTCCCCTTTCCTTCCTTCCTTTCTGTTTCTCTCCTCCCTTTGACCTTCTCTCTCACCTTTCTCCCCCATCTCCCTCTCCCTTTTTCTCTCTCACACATCTTCTCCTCTGTCTCTTACTTACCCCCTTTTCTCTCTCACCTTCCTCATCTCTCTCTTCTTCCCCCCCCATCTTCCTTTCTCTCTTTCTTCCCCCTTCCCCTTTTCCTCCCACTCCCCTCTTCCTTCCTCTCTTTCTCATTCCCTCCGTTCTCCCTTTCTCTGTTTTTCCTTCATTGAGAAGTGATTTCCAGGCTGTTACTTTAAACTGAGAGATCATAATTATGTCGGTCCATGCTTTAGTTCTTGAACTGACTGATGCTGGTGCTAATGTGATGCTCTTTCTCTCCTGCAGTTCAAAGTTCAGTAGGAAAGTTCGGTTTGTAAGTAGTCTTCAGGAACTCTCACAGTTGATTCCCATGCAACATGTACATATTCCAGAATGCATTAAAGAGTAAGTACTGTATAGCTGAATTGCAATCCCAATTTTTATACAGTTATATTCCTTATTTATTTTAATATTTACACTGAAAGCATTGGTGCTTTAATCATGTTAATATGATATGATTTAGCTCTAACTGCATAGTACAGACCCAAAAATTTTCAAATGGTGAATGCGTTGTTTAAATATTAGTTTGTAGGAGCAAAATTTATAATGTGTGATTTGTACAAGCTCACAATCACACATCACAAAGGTTAGATTGTGGCCTCCTCTGTCATGGCCCTCCATTTTCAATTTTTAAACGTTTTTGTAATGACCTGAATCACATGCAGACACATTAGCAAAGTTTAAGAAGCATTTAGACAGGGAGTAGAGGGATATGGACCAATTGTAGGCAGATGGAATTAATTTAGAATGACATCATTGGTCGGCATAGACATGATGGGCCGAAAAGCCTGTTCTTGTGCTGTTCTGTGTATCTACATTTTTAATAGTAGCTATTGTACAGAATATGTTAGGATTCAGGCAGTGTGATATCCTCCAGGAAGTCCTGGTTGTACTAATCATGCAAACTGTGGAGGGTCCCAGGTCTGATCCCCATGTGTGATGAGATGCTGAGCCTGCCTATGCATTTTCCTTGATATCAATTTTCTGCACATGTTTAACATCGCTCGGGGCTGGCAATATGGATTACTTTCTGGTAATCCTTGTACACAAACTCCATCAGCCTCCATTCCCAATTGGTGGAACAGCCTGGCAGCTGCCTGACTCTCCTCTCACCTCCTCAGTGGATGAACCACTGGATTGTGACTGGTGTAACTAGACTTTGCGAGAGCTCTGTTTTAATATTGTTCTTGGAATGTGTGCATCACTGGGAGATGACCCAGTTCTCCCAGTGCCCTGAAAGCACAAAATATGGAACTGCAGTCACACATCAGTCATACAGGGTTAGGGATGTCAGGAACCCCTTCCTTCGCTGAACTGAGGGTTTTCTATCAATTTTCTGGTGCTAGTGCCAAATTTTTCACAGTTCAGTTGCACAATATGTCATGGCAGGATTTGTGCTCGTAACCGCTAGGTAGCCAGTTTAATTCCATCACCACCAGACTTCCATACTAGTCTTTTCTGGTGACAGGGGAAGAGAACTCGGTTGGCAAGTCCTGTGCTGAGGCAGAGAGAAGGTTGAAAATACAACCATGGCCCATACATTTGACTTCTAAGTAAATGGGTTCCACAGGAGAAAAGTTTCTTCTTCTCAACTACTGCAGCTATGCTTACAAAGTGTGAGGATAGCACACAGCATGGCCTTGATGCACACCACTGCTGAATGGCCTGACACCGCTTGCTGTTACAGTTCAAGAGGTGACTTCAGCAGCATTCCAGACAGCAGCCAGGGTTTGGTGCAAGTGTGTAGGCCTTCAGAGAGGGCAAAGGGCAAATTGGACACAAGCATTGATTTGGAACATAAAAGCAGGACAGGTCAAAATCCATCAAGGAGGCAGAGGGTAAATCTGCCTTCCATACAAAATGCAAGTATAGCTTCCACAGAGGAAAATAAATAAAAGCTGTATGTTCTTCACAGGATAGATCCAGCTAGTCAGGCCGTGAGCACAACATTGTGTACAGTTCCAGCTACCACACTTTTGCCAAGGATGAGATCTCAGTGGAGAAGGTAGAGATTTACGAGGCTTGGATTGTTGAATTTTAGTGAGGAGGAACGATTGGATTGGCTGGAGTTCCTTCCTTTGGAACAGAGGAGACTGAAGGGAGATTAAAACAAGGGAGATTAAAACAATGGAAATAAACTTCCACGCGTCCTTAAAGTGGACAGGAAAGACCTATTTCTCTGAGCAGAAAGGTCAAAACTAGAAAGAGGAACAGACTTCAGGTAACTGATGGAAGTACTAAAAATGAGTTGAGAATTTTTCTTACCCAATGATAGGGAGTTGAGGTTGAGACTTCTTCCCTGAAGAGGTGGTAGAGGCAGACTTGTCAAACTTAAAACATACAGCATTCAGATATGAATTTGAAGTGCCATAACCTTTTTTCTTTATTCATCGGATGTGAGCATTTATTGCCCACCAGCTGTTAACTGCAGTTAAGAGTCAACTACATTGCTGTGGGTCTGGAGTCACACATTGGCCAGACCAGGTAAGGATCCTCAAGGATATTAGTGAACCAGATGGGTTTCTCCTGACAATCATTTCATGATCATCATTAGACTCTTATTTCTAGATTATTATTGAATTCAAATTCCACTATTTGCCATGGCAGGATTCGAACCCAAGTCCCCAGAACATTACCCAGATCTCTGAATTAATAATCTAGTGATAATACCACTCGGCCATCACCTACCTGGACTACAGGGCTACGGACCAAAAGTTGGAAAGTGGGATTAAGCTGATAGCTTGGTCAGCACACAGCATGGACCAAACGGCTTATTTCTGCATAATAATTTTCTGTGACTCTCAGTGCACAGGAGAGGGTGAAGGTTGAAGTGATCAGATCAATCCCAGATAAAAACAGCAATGAGGAAACACAATAGCAAATTGAGTTCTACAACCTACAGGGAGAAAGGAGGTATAAATAAAGTATTATCGGAATAATAAATACACGAAGATAACGTGATACAACAGCACTTAATCTATGCCTTTCCTACCTTGGGACTTTTCTCTTTCAAAGCTCCTTTGGCCAATCTCCAATTTTCACTCTTATACAGACTACAGCTCATCTAAAACTCTGCTATCTTTATACCAAGTCCCAATTATCGTCATCTCCTTTCCTTGTTGCACTAAACTGACACTCATTCCAGCAACCATTCAATTCATTAAATTCATATCTTTGTTTCAAATTCCTCCTTACCCCCTCCCTATCTCTATTCTCCTTCCACCCCTATGCCACTCTCTACCTCTGTAACCTCTGCCAGTCCCTACACCCCTCCCTATCTCAACCTCTGGTTCCTACATCTCTCCCTATCTCTGTAATCTCCTGTAGCTCCTGCAACCATCAGACACCTCCCCCTGCTGTTGCTTGGAACCCGGAGCTCAGGGTTTCTGTCTCTCCTCCTTGAAGACCACCCTTGACCCTTTGACTACGCTTTTGTCGTCTGTCCCTAATATCTCATGTGACTTGGGGGGAGTGGGTTCACATTTTGTCTGATAACATCTTGGTTTCTATTTTCTATGTTAAAGGTGCTACATAAATATTTGAAGTTGTTGTTAGATTGATATAAATTAGATCTTGGTATTTAAAATTCTATCCAATAGGTGACAAGTATTCTGAACAATCTTAAGTCAAATGCAATGAATGTTTTGCTGAGCAGGTTGAGGAATTTTTACAGGTGGTTGAAGGAGTTCTGGAAACGGGGAACCAAGCTATAATGGCCTTGGATTTTCTTCAATATTTACAGCCCTTTTCCTTTCTTTTAAACAGGCTGGATGCAGAGTTAAATGGAAATTCAGAAAGCTCCTAGAAGTCTTATTATTTTCGTGAGTGTGGGGAATTCTGCTAAATTGCTTTCTATCTAATGTGGAAGAGACATTCTCTGAGTGGCCAACACAAATTGACCATGGTGCAGATAATATAAGAACAGCAGAGAGATGTTCAAGACCAGTGTTGCAGAATCTATTCTACTTCGAAATAAATTTCCCTCCAATACACTCAACAGCAGACTTTTAAAAGAAAAAATTCTGAACGGACGCTCGATAGCTTAATGACTCAACCATACAGGACTGGGGATGACGGGTTCAATTCCCAGTGCATGCTGAGTTTGTTTGATCCATTAAGTTTTGGGGGAGGGCCAAGGGGGTGCTTAGGAGAATAAAAAACTGACCTAGGTTTCTATTTGCAATCACCAGCTTGAGATTTCCATTAAGAGTTTGTTTGCAGAATGTGGATAAAGAGGGAATTAAGCTCCTGCAATGGCACTCATGTTGCAAATCTGTGCACAATGGGTCACTAGGAATGGTAATAATGTTGGGGGAAAGCAACAATTGGAATGTGTAGAGCAGGGAATTAGGGTCCAGGAGAGAGAGTTTTATCAGCAACCTTTGGTGTCCCCTCTCTGCTGTTTCCCAATTGTTGACTGAGTGGACAATGGTGGCAGGTGGTGTGAATCAGCCTTGACATTACCAGGGAATGTTATCAAAGCCAAGGCTTCATTTACAAATGGTATTGGGATCAATGTATGGGATGTGCTTTGGGGATGACGGGGACAGAGTATGATGGACGGAGTGTGGAGGGCTTTTTATTTTTGCTGTACTAACTTAAGAAGGGTGAGTGCCCTTCCTCTGTGTTTGTTTCACGGTCTTGCAAGCGGTTTTATGGCGTGGGGGGGGGGCCAAGGGGAAAACAATCTAATTTGAACTAAAACCAGATGGTTGCGAGTTCAAGATCTGTTAACTCCATTAATGTTTCGCTGAATTGGAAACTTGTACATTGGAGGAGGGAGAGGGTTTACATTAAGCCTGTTCCCAAGTCAAGGTTTCATGCAATGTGGTTTTTTTTCTAATTAAAAAAATAGTAACTTAAATTGATATCCGAAATAATATATGTTTTACATTTTTATTGTGAGAATTTGTTTCCCTTTCTTTTCGGGTTTGAACCACTAATCATTATAATTTTAATAGGAACTTCAGTTTTGAGACTCAATGGCCTAATGCTTAACACAGCACTATTACCCAATCAACCAGGGCCAGGGATCTCAGTGTGAGCTATCTGTTAGCTTATAGCAGAGGGTTCATCAGGCCAGTAGAAGGGAAGTATTTTCTTAATATCAAGCAAGTACTGCAGATGCTGGTGATATAAAACAAAAAGAAAATGCTAGAGAAATGCAACAGGTCTGGTGGCGTCTGTGGAAAAAGAAACAAAGTTAATGTTTCAAGTAGTAGGAGAAGGGGCTGGGAAACAATGGTACTTATGCTATCAACAAAGGATGATGAGCAGTTGGAACAGATGATGGGAATGTGCAGAGCAAAAGGCAAAGGGACTGCTCATGATAATGGAGGAGTGATATAGATGAAGAATAGGTGTTCAAAGCAGAAAATGGGTTAGGTCTGCTGAGAACAAACCCATCCAAACAAGACACTTGGGATGGGTGAAGGATGTAATTGAAATGGAGAACCATCTTCGAGTTCCAAAGTTGTTAACTTCAGATTATGAAACAGCATAATGAATAATTAGCAGATTTGCATAAATGCCATCATTTTCCAGCACCACCAGTTCTGATAAAGACAGCTTTCGGACGCAAAACTGTTTTTCTGTCCCCAAACTGCTGCCCAATCTGTTGAATTTCTTCAGTTTGTCTTTATTTAGGAAATATTCTGTCCCTGGGTAGAAGCAGAGAGAGAAGACTTGGCATTGTTAACTCATTCCAGAAGGTTTCATTACCATTTGCTGACTGTGGCAATAGCATTAACAGAAACTGCAGAGAATCCGAGCCCTATCTTGGCCCAACCCCCAAATCTTCATTAAAAGAGCTCCCGACAAGATAGTAGGCCTGGGGAGAAAAAAGAGCCATTTATATTTTTTATATATATAATATATATTTTTAGAAAGTCTGGAGAATGTTTTATGTTGAGTAATTCCCCATTGTCATTTTTTTAAAAAGTTCTTGTTTGTTTTTTAATTTTGAAAATGGCACCCAAGTCTTGCAGGAAAAAATGAAAATGATGGGGAAGAGACCTCCTGATCCAATTAGCCTGTCTCACATAAATTCTGAGTTCTTAGACATCCACTTCCCCATCCTGAGTCTCATGCCCTTGAGGGGGCAAGGGGTACGGCAGATGGGGGATGCAACCTGGAAGATACCTTTTTGACCGTGTTAGGTCATTAATATATTTTCAGGACACTATTCCAGTGCCTAGTAGCCTCCTGGGCCAACCTGATGATTGCTGTTACCACGGGCTTCATTAAAGTCCAGTGTCCAGAGCTGCCAAAGACCCAAGAAAAGCCAATAAATGGACCTAAAAAGATAGTCTCTCCTTTTAAGCAGACAGCAGGAGATTATCTTGAGTGAGAAATTCTCTCTCAGCTTTTAGTACTCAATTTATCTGTACGTATACGCATTTCCTGGGAGTAGTTCTTCCTTCACTACCAGCAAGTATATTTAAGAACATTAAAGTATGTTGTGCTTTTCTTTTCATAAGAAGCATTATTTTATTATTGAGAGTATTTCTCACTTTTTAAGGATGCACTGGATCAGAAAGAGCTGCATGTCAATATTATATTGCTCTAATACTGTCTTAGTGATTTAGAAATTCTCTGTCAGCAGAATTAAAGATTTTCGATATACTTGAGTAATAAACATCACAATTATTAATCTTTCATTAAGAGTGTTGTCACATAGATATCCTATGATGTTCATGAGATGCCTTCCCTGCCTTTTTGTGTGAATGTGCATTCTAAATTCAGCAAAATGCTCCTACTAGGTATTGCAAATGGGATCTCTGGACGCAACCCACATTTGGAATGGGAGAATCTTGTACATCTGAGTTTTTACAGTTCAAGGTGGACACACTTTAGAAATCCAATCGTTCAGTGCTTTAACTTTCACGCAAGCATTGTGCTGTCAAAGTGCATGGTCTACAAACAGCCAAGTACAGGTTCATAGTTCTTTGAAATTGGAGTTGCAGGTAGACAGGATAGTGAAGGCAGCGTTTGGTATGCTTGCCTTTATTGGTCAGTGCATTGAGGATAGGAGTTGGAAGGTTATGTAGCAGCTGTACAAGACATTGGTTAGGCTACTTTTGGAATATTGTGTGCAATTCTGGTCTCCCTGCTCTAGGAAGGATGTTGTAAAGCTTGAAAGGGTTCAGAAAAGATTTACAAGGATGTTGCCAGGGTTGGATGGTTTGAGATATAGGGAGAGGCTGAATAGACTGGGGCTATTTTCCCTGGCGTGTCGGAGGCTGAGGGGTGACCTTATAAAGGTTTATGAAATCATGACGGGCATGGATAGGGTGAAAATACAAAGTATTTAGACAAGGAGTGGGGCAGTCTAAAACTAGAGGGCATGGGTTTAAGGTGAACGGGGCAAGATTTAAAAGACTTAAAAGATTTTAAAAGCAACTTTTTCGTGAAGAGGGTGGTGTGTGTATGGAATGAGCTGCCAGGAGAAGTTTTGGAAACCGGTACAATTACACCACTTAAAAGGCATCTGGATGGTTACATGAATAGGAAGGGTTTAGAGTGATATGGGCCAAATGCTGGCAAATGGGACTAGATTCATTTAGGATATCTGATCAGCATGGACGAGTTGGACTGAAGGGCCTGTTTCCATGCTGTCTCGCTCTATGACTCTAAGTGCATGCAAGCTGGTGCACAAATGTTTCTAGTGAAGACGATTTTTTTTATTTTTCTGGCGACATTGAACATTACCAAGTTGGTTGAAGAAGCTACCATTATAGAAACTGAAACAGGCTAGCCATGTCAATGCTCTGGTTATGTGACCTGATTAGAAGCTGGGAATTTTGCGGTGAGTAATTCACGTCCTGATTCCTCAAAGTCTGTCCACCAGTTATGAGGCACAGGTCAGGAGAGAAATGGAATACCCTCCAATTGACTATATCAGGTCAGGAAGCACTTGAGAAGCCAAACACCATCCGACATGAGGCATCCTGCTTCATTGTTACTCTATCAACCACCCATGCACAATGGAAGCATTGTGTACCATCTACAATATGCCCTGCAGCAGCTCACCATGCCTCCTCCAACAGTACATTCTTGAACACCATGACCTCTACCACCTGGAAAATCAAAGGCAACACATACATGGAACACCGTACTCTGTGAGTTCCCCACAAAGCCACACACCAATTTGCAACTTCCTTCACTGTTGCTGGTGAAGATGCTGGAACCTTTATGGCACTGTAGATGTCCCTACACCAGATACTTCCATAGTTCAAGAAGGTAGTTCACCACACCTTACCAAGAAGGCAGGGATGGGGAATGAATGCTGGCATACCCAATATTTCCCACATCCCAGGAACACATTTTAAAAATGGCAGGTTCAGTCTATTGTATGATTTGGGCCTGGTTTTACTGTGATCTATTCATTTTCTTGTACCTCTGACCTTTTAAAGAGTTCTGTATGACTCTATTGAGTCAAAAAGCTTGCTGTCAAGGAATTCATTACCTAAAATCAGTACCACCACAACCAGTTCATCCCAGTGTTGTGCAGCGCAAAATGGGATCTCTGGCCACAACATACATTTGGCATAGGAGAATCTTATACATCTGACTCTTTACAGTTCAAGGTGGGCACATTTAGAAATCCAATGGTTCATGGCTGACATGCCCAGTACCTGGGCAGCATGGTCCATTAAACTGAGGCCCTGTCAGGCTCTTCGGATGGAGGCCAAAGATCCTATGGCTACTGTTCAGAAGGACAGTAGGGAAGTTCTCTTCAGGGGGCTAACATTTATCTGTCAGCCAACTTTTAAAAACAAAAATCATTTGGTTATGATGCAGTGGCTGTTTGTGGGAACTTGCTGCTTTCCCTACATGGTTCCAATTTGCAAGTAACTCAGGAAGTTGCAAAGTGTTTCACAGTAATGGAGTTGTGAAATGCGGTGTGTAAATATATGTCCTTATTTTTGTCAAGTTGCCACCAAGTAACTGCTTTAATTAGCTGAGATGTTGAGATGCTAAAGGATGTTGGTGTCCTCCTGTTTTTGGAAGAATGCTCTTTCTTGCAACATTTACTCGATCAAAACCCTTCCTTGACTTTGTAATGTCTCCACTGAATACCCATGTTAACCTTTTCTGCTCTCCGGATCACTTCCACTTCGTTTTGGCTGCAATGATAACAGTGGCAGGGAAAAGATTGGCTCATGTCTGCAGTGGTCCAATTTCACCACAGACAAAGGCATTCTGTATTAACACATTGAACAAAAATGTAATTCATATGATAAGAACATTCAACCATAGATCTTTTTACCTTAATCACCCTGGCGGCCATGTTTGTTTATACATGGGACCCTTTGGTGAGTGGAAACATCTGCGACCCATATATTGCACACAAGGAATTCTTTTTGCAATTAAAATACTCCAAATAGTCACTAATGCTTTGGTGTTGAATTTGTTAAGGGTTACTCGGTAATAAATTACACGTTTAACACGAAGAACCATGGTAAGTACCACAAATCAGGAAAGAAGGGATTTGGGTGAGCAGGTGGAAAAGAAAACCTTCACTTTAACCAAATCCGTGCACGCGTAATCCCTGTTTGAAGGATATGTACGATTAGAAATCGTTCGAAGGGGCTAAAGCCTTTGGATTTAATCTGAAGTCTATATTTTTATTGAGTTTAAAATTGTCCTCTTTACCCCCCCCCCCCCCCCACCCAGATGAAAATTGAACGACCCATATCAATCATTGAACGCTCACCTCCTCCACCACGCGCCAAGTTCCACCCACTCGCGTTTTGGAGGGATAGCCTGTGGTTGGTCAAATCGCCCCTGTCTGACGTCATAATAGCACAGTCTCTATGGAGACGCCCGTGTGCTCGCTCCCGGACATTTTGAAAGCCACCTTCCTCGCGCGCTTTTTAACGGATTTTTCCGGGGCCACCATCTAATGGCGGCCATGATGATTGGTGGAAGTCAAGAGACCTACTGGATCTCACTTTCCAGGGAGCACAGCAGTGGCCATGCACTTTGTTGCGCTCACCTTCCTACTTGCCCACTTGGCCACACCGGGGAGGGCACCAGCTGTGGCTGGAGGTGCTGTCTTGACGGCAGTGCCCAGTGATGGGAGTGCCCCAAACCGTCTCGCCTCGCCGTCCACCCAGCTTACAAACGCCCAGCTTGGCACACGGCTCAGCAACCAGTCTGCCACCAAGTCTATTGCTCTACCTGCCACTCAGCCTGGCATCCAATCCACTGCCCAGCCCATCACCTGGTCTACTGCTCAGCCTGCTGCCCAGCATGCCACCAAGTCTGGCGCCCAGCCTGCTGCCCAGCACGCCACCAAGTCTGGTGCCCAGCCTGCTGCCCAGCACGCCACCAGGTCTGGCGCCCAGCCTGCTGCCCAGCACGCCACCAAGTCTGGCGCCCAGCGTGCGGCCCAGCACACCTCCAAGTCTGGCACCCAGCGTGCGGCCCAGCACACCACCAAGTCTGGCACCCAGC